GAAGAACTTCTTCCCTCTGAGGGTGACGGAGCACTGGAACAGGCTGCCCAGGGAGGTGGTGGAGTCTCCTTCTCTGGAGATATTCAAGACCCGCCTGGACAACGTCCTGTGCAGCCTGCTGTAGGCAACCCTGCTTGGGCAGGAGGGTTGGACTAGATGACCCACAGAGGTCCCTTCCAACCCCTACCATTCTGTGATTCTGTGCATGTAGGTCTTTGACCCTCTTGAAAACTCCGAGTGCTCAATTTCCTGGTTTTTCTTGACAGGCTTGCCAGGACCTTGATAATCTCAGTGTTTTAGGTGCTTCTGCTTAGTATAGTACAGTCTTATTACCCAATTTGTGAACTGAGATGAGCTCGGCCTGGCTTGAGACCTGTATAGTCATCTTTTGCAACCTGTGAGGTAGTCTTACCCTCAAGTCTCAACTTCTGGTGAAGAATCAGGAGACTTGACTGGATTAAATTTGATAAAGCTAGTGGAGGTGAGCCAGACTTGCAGCTGATGTGTATGGCTGTTAAGTTACATTCTTATGCAGTGATCAAATTCTTTCATTATAGTTTTCCATACTTATTCTGTTCAAACCCCTATTAAGCTATTTGCAAAATGTAATGTTTTGCATCTCTCTACGAATAACAATTTGCTACTTCCAAATGCAGCTTACAGATTTTTATAATAACATGGCTTTTTTTCCCTCACTCCTGTTCCTTGAAGCTTGGTGCCTTTGGCTGTGTAAGATAGAAGGAAAGGAGCCCATTACTGTGAAAAAGAATTTAACTGCGTTTGTCTGAAAGTGATTTAGAAACTTACACAGCTTTATCTCAAGTTTCAAATAATCACTGGAGTGAGGAGGATTACAGACAATCTTCTGGCAAGCTTTATAACCATATAAAAATACCGGTCTCCATACAGGTAAGATGACCTTTATTGGCTCATGTGCTGTATCACAGGAGGCTGTACTGACATTCTCAAATCGATCTCTTGTATTTTATAGACAATTAATGCTCCTGAAATAATAGACTTTCCTGACCAGCAGTTCTGTTTTTCCATCTAGGAAAAATTTCCGTGTATCTTATATTAAAATACAGCCAAGCCTGCGACAGTTCCCTTTGAAGAATACTGGCTTGTAGTATTGTTTAAATTTTAGTCATGACTGTCAAGTCAAAAAGGAGTGTTTCATTCCCAGTTAATAAAGATGGGCGAGCTCGCTGGGTGAGCTATGCATGGTCCTTTGGTGAGCTGGCAAAGCACGCTTGGAGGAGAAAGTCACAGAGATGCAAGGAGTGTTAGGGAACTTCAGTGTATTGCACTGAGCGTATTCCACTTGATACTCAGTTATGCTTTACAGATATTCTTGTAGTATAAAGGTAAAATTGCCACTTAAAAAAAAAGTGCATATAAGGAAGACGGAATCTTGCTTTGAAGCTGTTAAAATCGTTTCTGAAAAGCTTTGGAAGTTGATATTCCTGCCTCTTCCCACTTCTCAAGAGAAAAATAAGTTTGGCTCATTTTGCAGAAGAAAAATCATTAGGATACTGAACTGTTCGCACAAATCTTAAGAGAAAGCGTACTATATGCCACAATATATCTCTACACTACAGTGTGGACAAACCATAAAGAAAACTAGAGTTTGTTTGAGCAACGTTCCATTACATGCCGCAAAACTGGAGTGAATATAGTGGTGTTTGGTGGTTGTTGGCTTTTTGTGTGTTGTGGCTGCTTTTTTTAGCCAGCCCTTAAGTTTTAAAAACCAGAAATGGAAGTTGCACAGATGGACACTTAGATGTGTTCAGACACCTACTGTATGTTTTTTAACATTCTACATGATTGGTACTGTATCATGCCAAATAGGCAGTGGTGATGTTGGGAGACAGAAAGCCTATTCTGCCCGTTCTGCTTGTTGCTTTGATCCTTAGCGTGGGTTTTGTATGGAAACCCTGTGGTATTTGAAGGGAAACAATGCACTCTAAATTATTCAGTGGAACGGAGAATACAGGGATATAATAAAATCATACGTGCTGTTCTCTTTTCCATCATGGGGGAAAGACACTGTCTTTTGAGTTTGGTGCTTGTGAGTCCCTTGGGGAAAGGGACTGTAACTTATTTTACGAAATACAGAAACATTCAGTATCAGAAAGGTTATAAAATGTTGGCTTCAGGGGTTTTAAAAATTCGTACTCTTTTAGACCAGTATTATTTTTATTTCTTTTTCCCAGAATCATGGACAACATTGCTAAGACTGATAGTGCATGTGTATTTAGGACTTTCTTTTAGTCACTTTCTCTCATTGGGGTAGAGCTGCAAGGACAGTTGCGTTGTGCAGGTGGTGGTAATGCAACAGGAAAATAATGTGTTGCTTGACTGTGGAGTTTGCTTTGAGTCTGACAAATTCAAAAAGAACCTTACTTGCTTTATGCTGAGAAAATGACATTTATTACACCTACTATTTCTGGGTGGAACATCCCGGAATGATCTGTGCAAGTTTTAAATTCTTTCAGTTACAATGGTTGAATTATAAAATAGACAACTAAGTATATATTTTAAATCTCTCGGTAAGCCCCTCCAATCCTGATAGAATTGATTATCCAACAGAAAGGAGGGGTTAATATGCGTTTTAATAAAGTAATGAATCCATAAATTTATAGTTCCTGCTCTAATATATTTTTTTCCCCCCCTTTAGTTCCTTGGCATAACATTTCTTGGGATTGGATTGTGGGCATGGAATGAAAAGGTAAGCTGAATATAGCACTGAAGTCCATGTTTTTCCTCTTTCTCTCTCTTTCTGGTGAATTATTGGAATAGTAATATGCTGCACATTTTATGTGTCCCCACACAGTTTCTGCTGAAACAAAACCAGGCTTCTCTGTCACATAAAACCTTGGCTCACTTTACCTAGAGGAATATCCTTGGCATCTTTCCCAAGAATGCCTTGGCAAGACATCATGGCTGACACCTGCACATGTAATAATGATTTCAATCCATGCACACTCAAACTGCAGCTCAGATGCTAGAACACTCTACTGCAGGCAGAGTTGGCAGTGTCTCTGCTGCATGTGTCCCCAGGAATGGAGAGGGAGCCTACATGTTTCAGAGGGCAGCTTCCCAAAAATAAGCCTCCTTAGCTTTGTCTTAACATAGCATGCTAATTGCTGCTGTTCTTAAACAAAACAGAAAACCCACAAACAAACCCAAAACCAAAACAAAATGAACCCTGAAAACCAAGCCAAACCCAACACAGAATAACTGTTGGTTTTTTTTGTGCAAATAAAACTGTCCCGTGGAACACTGTCTTGCAAGACTGTAAAATCAACTTGCAAATGGGAAGAAAGGGGGGAGGGGAAAGAGAAAACATTTGTGAACCAGAGCCTAATTTTTAATTTGATTGCTCCAGAAGTTGGGAGGAGGAGAAAATATCGAGACGTAATATACAAAACAAGTCAGTATGTGTTGGCTTACTGGATGAAGAGTTTGGCTTGCTAGAAGACAACAGCTAAAATTAAAGCCAGAGTTTCCTTTTCTTCTTTGTTTAAAAGATTGAAAATAATAAAACCTGGCTGGTAACAATGATGCTATGATATTCAGTTACATAATGTTTTTTTTTTTTCTCCTTTTAATGGATAACACTGAGTAAGTTACAAATTTATGTTCATTTAAGGCATGATAACTGGCTCTTGCAGCAGAACAAATACGTGTTGGAAGCACTGGAGTTTTGCCACTTAAAAGTTCAGTACAAATTTTGCTGGTTCAGAAGTGAGTTAACATAAATGCTAACTGCTCTGTTCATATGCCTTGGATATAGATAATCACAACTAATAATGGGTTATTAATTAACTCACACTGTATACACCCATATATACGCATATTTACATGCCATATGATATACTCATGTTGGATGGCTTGAATACGCTTGGAAAGAGGTGCTGTGATACTTTTTGTTCTGCAAAGATGTAAAAGCATGTTCTATTTAGTACTCTGAGCACACTCACAGAGGTTATACCTATGTCGAAGCCCCAGAGAAGAACTTTGTTTTGGAGTGGCTTTCTGGAAGAGATTTTAACATTTTTGTATCATTTCAGTAGGTAACACAAATGATTCCTCTTTAGAATGGAGGAGCACGTAAAGGGAAAACAGCGATAGGCTACTGTTTGAAGTCTTAAAATATAGCAATCCTACAGCTAGAAGGGTGTCCTAGCAGAGTGATAAATTTTTGTTAGGGAGAAAGCCCCCCCCCCCCGCCAATGCATTCAGTTCATAATTGCTAATAGCCAGAAGCTAAAGGTCATGTTTTTATGTGAGGTTTAGACATCTGTTATCAAGTCATCTTAAACCATTTTTAATCATCCTGAAAGTGGGAGAAAAGGCCATGTTGTTTTTAAGACAAGCAAATAAAAACACCTAGAGTGGTTTAATATGCATTAGCTCAGGCTCCATATGTAGTAGGTTCTTCTGTAGAAATTAATAAACAAAATAAATACTGTTTATTGTGTTAAAGCACAGGTCTTTCCTTGAAAATGAGAATCTCTCCCTAGCTTCTCTAACTGTTGTGTCCTGTGGTGCTTAGTGTGGACTGTTTCAGTTGATGGTTGTAAGAGCCGAAATGTAGTACAGGTACAGCTGAACTGCAGAGCTCCCGAGCACAGACAGACTTGATTTTTGTAGCAGGAATTATGGAAAAATGGACTGGTGTCAAGCCAATTTGAGACCTTTCTTTCACTCAGCTCTCTAGAGAACAGGCAGTGGCCAGAACCTGCAGTCCACAAGATCAAGTTTCAGATACTCATAGGCCCCATGCAACTTAGCGAGGGGCAGATCAGTTACATCCCAGGCAGTTGTTCTTGCTGCAGCTGGGCAGTTGGAGGTGAAAGCCAAGTAGGTGCAGTCTAAGACTTGAGAGATCTGTAACTTAACTGAAAAGCACTTGTCTAGCTAGATTGCTTCTTGCTTAAGGCTAGCCTGGATCTCCCTTAGGCATCATGGGCTGTTGCAATGGTATACTGTAAGACAGCAAAGCAGCTTTGCAGAGAAGAACCTGGGAGAGAAGAGCAGGCTCAGGGGAATATTAATGTGTAGAAGTACCTAAAGGGAGAGTGCAAAGAGGATGGAGCCAAGCTGTTTTCAGGGTGCCCAGTGGCAGAGGTAATGGGCACAAACTGAAACACAGGAAGTTCCCTCTGAGCATCAGGAAACACTTTTTTCTTACTGTGAGGGTAACTGAGCACTGGCATGGTTTGCCCAGAGATGATGTGGAGTCTCCCTCTTTGGGGATATTGAAAAGCAGTCTGGACACAGTCTTAGGCAGCTAAGTCTAAGTGACCAGGTGGATCTCCAGAGGTCCCTTCCAACTTCAACTATTCTATGAAGACTGCTGCTGTCCCAATGAACTAAGTCTTCATCAAAGTTGAACTTTGGTGCTGCTGTTATATAGTGTGTAAACATAAATTTGTAAGGCTTTTTTTCTGGATTGGGTTTTCAGAAGGACTCCTCTACTGTAAACTGATTTGGTGGTGGGGAGGATTTTGATTTACTTCTGTCTTGAACTGTGTGGCTTAATATCCAGCTGTGTTATTTTAAAACTTGGCCATCAACTTTTGTATATACTTTTGCTGCTTTACAGAATCTTTTTAAGATTAAAAGATAGTGTGCCAGGCCACATTAAAAATGCAGGATGTAAAGAAATAATCCACATTTTACAGGAGTCCTGTTTGCTGCCAACTAAAAACAATTTGGGGTAGATTTGTGGGCTTGGTGGCTAGTTTCTCGTGTTTTCCTAAGTTGGCTGGAAATGTCCTCTTTAAACTTTGTTGTAAAGAATAAAAAAAGCACACTATACAGTCTCATGACCTTCCTTACAGCCTTTGCAGGGAGGCGAAAGAGCTCATTTGTCAAATAGGCGATAGAATTGGCTTGACAGCCAGTCAGCCAGCCCTAAACAAAAACTGGGCAATTAGCATTCTGAGTCATGAACCTGAAAGAGAGCTGGAGGGCAGGGTGGGGGCAATAAACTTGGAGGATGAATAAAGCTATCTATACATGGATGCACTATATAGCTCACAATATCACAGTGTTTTCAGGCACCCCAGACTTGGGCTTGTACTATAAAAAAGTTCATCTGTGGCAGCTGATTTCCACCCACAGCTGCCAGCAGTGACATGAATGTTGTTAATGTATAAAGAGTCTGTAGTAAGCCCATGCAACTTACACTACCTTTGCTCAGCAACAGGAGAAAAATGTTTATATTTCACTGGCTTTTTTAACCACTTCAAGTCATTTATTCTGTTGATTTTTTAAAAATAAAATAGACTTGTGCAAAATGTCTGTTTCCCCTCTCGGTTGTATATATTACATAATGTGGTCTTAAGGCTCATTGGGAGTGTTCATGGTATAGTACCAGTAGGCATTTAGGAAAATAAGCTTCCTGGTTCTCTCACTGCAGGAGATTTATGTTTATGAGACTAAGTGATGAAATGCTGTTATGTCTTCTGAGACCTTATAAGACTGTCCATGGAGAGGGAGTTTTTAGAAGGAAAGCACTGTGATTTTGAGGTGTATTTATGCCAGTTATTTACCTATTAAACTCTGCTTTGTCATGACAAGAAAGCTAGACTAGTTCTTCCCTAAACACTTGAAAAATAAACTTCTGCTACTATTGCTGTTTGCTGTTTGAAATGCAAAACCAAGAAAAATCAAGAAAATAATATTTGTAAACATCCTCCCATCTAGTTTCTTGCTTGCAGAGACAAAATTCTGGAGTGAAATTAATCTGGCGTGTTCCAGTGACTGTTGTTCTGTTCTCCATGCTCATTCAGATGCACAGCGTGGAGAAACTGCATAGATTTTATGACTAACAAAGTAGAGAGACATTTTTCTGTTTTAAAATCATGCATTTGGAAATACTTTTATTTCCCATCACATCCATATGTTCTTGTTTGTCAGTGATTCTAAGTCCTGCAGATGAGCTTGTGGAAAGGCTAATCCTCTGTTTGCAGAGAAGAAATGCTTCAGAAAATCTTGTATTGCTGAACCTTTTTCTGACCATCTGCTTTTTTTTGTGTGTGTTCGCTGCCCCACCCCGTAATGGGATTCTGCAGCGGAGAAGGTTTTCCCATCTTGGAAGACATGGAAAAAAAAGAGCCCATTTGTCCTATTCTACTGGTGTTGGTTGCTTCGTTTTACTTTTTAATAGCCCTCTGAGATGTTATTTGTCATGGGGACTGATGTGTTGAGTCCTGTTCCTTTACATGCACTCCTGTGGGCCAAATTCCATATACTATCACAGTGTATCAACTCTTTGTTCCCTAGGATGATGATTGTCCTAAGTTGTCTGACTCAAGATACCTTGAATTTTCATTACTGGGTCAGCTTTTCAAAATTGCTGCTGGCTACAGTGTTTTCACTTGGAGATGGTACTGTGCCTGTGAAATCAGCTGTTCCAGAGAGAAGCAATGGTGTAGCAAACTTCCAGGAACATTTTTGAGACGTGAATGTGGCAGTGGATTCTCTACACTAGCCACAGCCACAGGTGGCCTGGAAATCTCCCTTGTTTGTGAATGCACTTGTGACTCCCTTTTTTTGGCCTCATTGGGAACCAGGAACGCAGTCAGATCGTGTAAGTGTGCCAACACTGGGGCACTGCTCCAACCAAGAAGTTGTGTTGGCATCCATACATTCTGGAGAAATTCAAGTAACTTTCTGGGTTCAGCATGCAAAGGCCAAATCTGCTGAGTGCAAGTA